TTCAGGCATCAGCCGCCATGGGGGAAGTGCACGATCCTCGAGCGGGTGCGCTTGGAATGGGGGGTCAGGCATTCGCTGCTATGTGGGGAGTGCAGCATCCTCCAGCGGGCACGCGCGGATTGGGGGATTAGGCATTAGCTGCCTTGCTGGAAGTGCACCATCCTCGAGCGTGCACGAGGGAAGAAGCCTCGGTGAGTAGTGGGGATGCACGCAAGAGCCCGCTGGTAGAGAAAGGAGCTGTCCCTTGTCAGAGTCCACGAAACCCTACCATGCAGACTTTGGCATTCTTCCACGTCTCAACGTGCCAGTGGGCACGGTGGTGGATCTCATGGCGATAACGGGCGTGACCAGGGGGTGGGGAGAGGGGAGAGGAGGCCGGTCACGTCATGATGCGTGCCAGCGCCGTTTGGGAATGTCCAGGAATCGTTGATTCTCAAACGGCGCCGGCGCGAATCGTGACGTGATCAGGGTGGGAGAGGTGGGAGGTGGGGGGGGACGGGGCCGGTCACGGGCAGCGTTATCGCGAATAGCAGAGAGGAGAAGGAGCAAAACAAAGCAACAGCAAAAACGAACTCCCAGTCGAGGCCGGGCCCGCCGCGCTGTGCGTGTCGCAGAAGGCCGAGTGCGCGAGGAACATCGCCAGGACTCAGGCCGTCGAGGGCGAGAGGGCCCGGGCGGTGCGGGCGGCCGGCGGCGACGCGGACGGGTGCATCTCGGGGGCCCTGAGACGGGGGCCGATGCAAACGTTGTGAGGAGCATCCTGGAGGCCTCGCGCGGCGCGTAATAGTAGTATGATCTAGTCCATTTGTCAGTTCAGTAAGCTATCCAGGATGTTCCTCCTAACAAACAGGGGTCAGTCAGAGCGCTGGATCTTGCCGGATCCTGCTGTGCCAGGGTTGCACTGGCCCGGGCTTGTGTGCAGGATGCTGCGGGATCGATCCTGCAGGATCCTGGCTGACCCAGGTTTGCATTGACCTGGGTCAGTGGAGCCCCGAGCATCTACGGCGGCGCGGAGCCCTCTGCGGGGTGCCACGAGCTGAGGGAGGCCAGGAGGAGCTCTGAGACCAGGGGCAACGCTAGGGTTTCGGGATCGAGATTCGAGGGTTTCGGGCGTGTTCGTCGAATCTCGACGGCTTTCCAGCCTCCGGATGCCTTCCAGCGGCTGCGACTCGCCGAGGGTGTTCTGGGGGGGGGGTGCCCAGATCGTCCCGAACGGTCCCCGGGGAGCCGAGTTATGACCCGAAAACCAGGAAGTTTTGTTAATGGGGTACATGCTCAGAGGGGGACGCATCGACGCCCAATCGCCTCGCCGATAGGGGCCCGATGGCCCACCACTCCCAGGAACGTGCGGGGTCGATGTGGAGGGCATATTCCCTATGTATCTGCGATTCCAGGACGATGTTGCCCCCCATCAGCCAGTACCGACGGCCCGCGCAGATTTCTTAGATTGGCGCTGGGTCCCCCCCTTCCCTAGCGCGCGGAGTGCGCCAGGGGCGGCGCCGGAGGCGCCACCCGGGGGGGCCCAGCGCCGATCCGAGAAATCCTCGCGGCCCGTCGAAAGCTTATGATAGTAGTGGTTGAGTCGGGCGTGTCCAGGAGACATATTCAAAAATAGTCAAAAAATAGTCAGGGGACGATGTTTGATTATCTTATGTACATGTTGGGCGTATTTGTCCGTGTTTTTTTCTTCAATTGTTCGCCCAAAGTTCCCCTGTAGTGGAACAGGCCCGACCTCATAGTAGTGCCTCTTTGCTATTCGAGGAGCGTCGACATGTACAGGCGCGAGATGGAGGCGCTCGTCCGCGGCTGCGCGTCCGCCCCCGAGTCCCACGAGGCGCGCGCCCAGCGCAGGCAGGACCAGCTGGACGGCCTGCACGAGGCCCACCGCCTCCTGAGGTGACGCCGCGCTCGGCGGGGGCGGCGGAGACCCGGTGGACGAGGCCCGCCGCGAGGCTCACAACACAACATCAGCATCCTCGTCCTCATCCTCATCCTCATCCTGCTCCTCATCCTTCTGCTCCTCCTGCTCATCCTCATCCTCATCCTCTGGGCCTCCCAAGCGGGGTCCGACCCAATCTGCTCGGACCCCCTTTGCGCGACGCAGAAAAGTGAGGTCGTCTGCGCCGACATTGGCGTGCAAGCTGCCCGCGTGAGGCCACCGCGTAAGGTCGCTGCGTCATCTCGCGTAAGACCCGTCGTTGATCGTCGCGCATTTAAGAGACCACTATGGACGAGGCCAGCCGCGAGGCTCACCGCCCCAGAGACAAATCGCAAAGAAGAGAACAGCATAAGCATAAACTTTCGAGTCGTCCGGGCGGATTTCTTGGATCTGGACCCCCCCCCTCCTCCCTTACTCGCGGAGCGCACAAGGAGCGGCACCGGAGGCGCCGCCAGGGACGCCTCCTGCGCGATGGACCCCTCTGGCGACGCCTCCTGCGCCGCCCCTGGCGCACTCTGGGCGCCAGCGAGGGGGGCCCAGCGCCGATCCAGGAAATCCGCGCGGACCTCAGCAGTTTTTATGTTGCAGCTTCCTCTGCTGAGCATCAGGAGGGAAAGAAACACACAGACACAATTAATCGTCGACTCCCTGGAAAATACGGGAAGATATGGGAAGTGGGGGGGAAGACGAGAACCCAGAAAGTATGTGATACTATAGGGGGATCCTGGGATTTGCGTGCGCATCGTGTCTCCTATGTGTGTGTCCCTGGGCTCCTTTGGAGGACGCGGGCGGCGAGGGCCCCGAAGCGGGCACGGGGGCTGCTCGCCCGGACCCGGCGGGGCGGCCGCGGCCGCGGGCGCCTCGAAGTTTGGCGCGGTTGCCATCGAGTGCTCCCCGGCGCCTCCGGGGGGGGGGTCCTTTGTGGCGGGGTGCCGCCGTGTCTTGGGGTTAGGTCGGGCACGTCCCTCTGCAGGGGAAAATTTCCACAACAGTCCAAAAATAGTCTGGGGACGATTTTTCGAGCATGTTTGACCATTTTTGAGTATTTGTTGACTCTTCTTCATGTTTCTTCCAAAATCCGCCTGTAGGGGGACGCCCGACCTAATCTTGGGGGCCTCTGAGCGGTGTGGCGACACACCTCGCGTGGTTCCAAAAGGGACCCCAGGGGCAGGGGCTTTTAAGACGGGCGATGCCGATGTCTCAAGTCCGCTCGGCTTCGCCCACAAGGTCGCTGCACGACGCTTTCACTCGCACTCTTCGAAGTATCAAATGCGACGCCACGGTCTCAGAAGTCCCCTTCGCTGGCATCCCTTTAGGAACATCAATTCCGCATTGTGAGTCAGTGGGAATTCGAGGTTACCGCACTGCTTGGGGGCTCGGGTCGTTCTCCGAGAACGTCTTCGGCGACTGCAGTTCAGGTTCTGGAGTCGCTCGGAACACTTCCAGGGTGATTTCAGACACACTGACACTCACCGCTCCCAGTTCCAGAAGCAACCTGGAACGCTAGCGGGGTGATGTTCCATTCGGGCTGATTTGGTGGTTTGCACGAGGCCTTATTGGGCTGCTTGCAGAAGGCCTTCATGAGCTGTGTGCAGCAGGACTTATTGAGCTGCTTGCAGGAGGACTTATTGCCCCCCCCCACGTATCCCCGAGAGCACCTGCTGCACCGGGAAGGGCCCTAAGTGGCAAAACACCTTGGAAAGGTTCTGGGGTCAGTTTCCGTTCAGGGCGGCCCCGCGATTTAGTTGGCTGGGCCGAGACAGGAGGCTCCCAAATGTGGAAAATGACGACTTCTTGGGCTCGGGTGCACCCCCCTCTTATTCCCAAGAGCGCCTGCCGCACTGGGGAGGGGTTCGGGAGTGAGTGTCCATTTGGGGCGTTCCCGCGATTCAGCTGGGGAGCCCAGCCGAGACAGAAGGCTCCCCAATAGGAGGTTCCATCTAAAAAATGATTACTGTTAGGGGTCGGGTGCGCCCCCCCTCTTACCCCCGAGAGCGCCTGCTGCACTGGGGGTCTGGGGGGGTCCCAGATGGAAAATCACTCTGGAACGGTCCCTGGTGGATTGTCCATCTAGGGCGTTCTCGCGATTCAACTGGGGAGCCCAGCCGAGACAGAAGGCTCCCCAACATGATATTAATACCATTTGGGAAATGGCGGCTGTTGAGCTCGAGTACACCCACCCCCCCACTTCTCCTCGAGGGCGCCTGCTGCACTGGGGAGGGCCCCAAACGGAAAAACACCCTGGACTGGTTCTGGAGTCAGATTCCATCTAGGGCGGTCCCGCGATTCAGTTGGCTGGGCCGAAACACAAGGCTCCCCAATAAGAGATCCCATGTGGAAAATGACAACTTCTTGGGCTCGGGGGCACCCCCCTCTATCCCCAAGAGCCCCTGCCGCACTCGGGAAGGGTTCGGGGGTGATTTTCCATTTGGGGCGTTCCCGCGATTCAGCTGGGGAGCCCAGCCGAGACAGAAGGCTCCCAATAGGAGGTTCCATCTGGAAAATGACAACTTTCTGGGCTCGCATACACCCCCCCACTTATCCCCGAGAGGGCCTGCTGCACTGGGGGGGCGCACATGGAAGGTTGCACCTGGGGGTCCCAGATGGAAGATCACCCGTTCCAGGTCCCAATAATCACACGGAACGATTCCAGGATGATTCCAGAGCCTGGAACGGGTCGATGCCACAGCCGGCGGCATGGACTTCCAGGGTCCCGAAGCCGCGCGGCGACGGACCGCGCGGTGAGGTCGTTGGGGGTTCCGAGGTCACCACGCGGTCCGTCACCACAAGGTGTTGGGGCCCGAATTATCCCCTACCCCTTCCAGGGGCAACGTTGGAGGGGTTTTGACTCGATGCGGGAGGTGCGGACCCCCAATCGCCCATTGATGTTCGATGGGGGCCCCGATGGCCCACCCCGCTGAGGAACGCGAGGTTCTGCTGTCGGCGCCACGTCGCCGGTCCATTGGCGATGCGGCGCCGATTCGAGCTCGATGTTCCCTCCTCCTCCTCCTCCTCCTCCTCCTCCTCCTCCTCCTCCTCCTCCTCCTCCTCCTCCCTGCAGCCGGTTTGGCTCAAGCGAGCCTGGATCGAGCTCTGGCCCGAGGCGGCCGCCGCCCGTCTCGCCGCCGCCGTCGCCGCCAGAAGGGGCGACCGGCCCGCCGCGGCCAGGTCGGCGCTCGGCGTCCCCTGCGGCGGGGCCGTGGGGCTCTCCCGCTGGGAGGTGGCCGCCGACCGCGTCTTCCGCACGCTGCAGCTGCGCGTCCGGGACCTGGGCCGCCTGGCCGGGGCGCGCGGGGAAGTCGAGGGGCGCTCGGGCGGCCCGGCCCGGGTCACGCAGGATCTCCCGAGGTTGGTGCGGCTGCCCGAGCTGGGCCTGCCCGTGGAGTTGGCCCTGGCCAGCGGCTTCTTCGCCCCCGTCTGCGCGGACCAGCCCACCCTTGGCTTCCACCTCACCATCCCGCAGGATGCGCACGGCGGACTCACCGCGCCCTGAGCCAAGGGGAGAAAAGCACGATCGAGGAGCGGGTGGAGGTTGAGTTCGAACCGCTGACGGTCGTCACTCTTCCGACGGTGTTCCGCGCCGGCGAGACCGTGGCCGCCAGGCTCGAGGACGAGGTCCTCTGGGCCCTGCACACGGTCGACGGCTCCAGCAATGGTGGGGGCAAGATCCAGCTCACGCAGGTGTGCATCTGCAGCAACGTCAAGGTTCGGGACTTGAACATGGAGCTGGTTTGGAGCTGACAGTACGAGCAGGGCAAGTTCGGCAACCCCCACATCACGGTGCTGGCTCAGCGCTGCGACACTTCGGCCGCCCGGGTGCACTCAGGAGGCCGCCTCGAGGAGCTCATGGGGCGGGCGGAGATGGAGCCGCCGCTCTCCGGAGAAGGGAGCCTCGGCGCTTGTTGGCGGGTCTTCCAGATTCTGGACTTGGCTCCCGCGGCATCAGAGCCGCCCAACCCTTGTCCTTGATCCTGACTCGGGGAATACATTCCGCTTGCGTGCCAGCTCATTCTCTTCCTCCCCCTCCTCATGTTTAGGAGCGGCCCAGGGAGGGCAGGTCTCAATGGAATCCCTGCGGGGCGCCACACCGCTGGCTCTATTGGGCTCCCCAAGAGGGTCAGACAGTTTCGGGGCGCGGTAGTTGTTTGTACACTATCTGTACCGCCACCGCCTCCCATTATCATGATTGTCCATGGGGAGGCTTCTCCAAGGGGAGTTGTCTGGGGAGGGTCTGGATCCTTGTGGGATTGTCCAAGGGGTTGTCCGGGCCGCGTCGTCTTGCCGGCACGTGCACATGTCATTATCATACATACCATCAAAAGCATGGCACGACCAGGGAAGCTCAGCTGGAAATGCCGCCTCTTTCCCACTTCCCGTCCTGTCCGCTCCTCGACTCCCGTGCCCCCCTTCCGCTCCCGTTCGCACGCCCTCCCTTGCCGCGCTTCCTCAAACAGTTGTCCTGACTGGGGTCCTGTTGCGGTACTCTCGCCTCAACGCCGACCAAATGTTTGATTGGGTACGTATGGTGTTGCCGCTCGAGTGCCAGCAACATCCGTGATTGAGAATGGTACTCTCGCCGGAGCTCTGGGTATATCCCCGTCTGGGATAGGTGCTGTCGCATTCGCGCTGGCCACATGCCTCATCATTAGGCGTGATGCTATCGCCTCAGCGCCGGCCACATCCCTAAGTTGGGATGTTGCTGCCGCTCGAGCGCACTGGGTTGTCCAGGGGGGGGTCCGGGATGTTTGTTGGACAAGGTGTTTTTTCCATTGATCATAATACTGTTCTTCATTCCCCCTCCTCCTCCTCCTCCTCCTCCTCCTCCTCCTCCTCCTCCTCCTCCTCCTCCTCCTCCTCCTCCTCCTCCTCCTCCCCCCTTGGACTGGTCCCCCCTGCCGTTGCCCCTCGTCCCCCCTGGCTTCGCCGAGCAGAGCTCGGGGGCGCCCGTGGCTCCTGGCCCTGGCGCTCCACCACGCGCCCCTGCTCGCCTCGGACGCATTCCTCTCGTCGGCCAGAGCAGGAGCAGGAGCAGGACGAGGACAGGAGGAGGGAGGGGGGAGGGGGAGGCGGGGACGAAGAGGAGGAGGAGGAGGAGGAGGACGACGGGGAGGACGGGGAGTTCGATGCTTCCCCTCTTGAGCTGGTCCCCTCTAACGTTGCTCCTCACGCTTGCCCCGCCTTCGGGTCTGGGGCGAAGGCAGCCGCGGGCGCGGGCGCTCAAAGTGGGCTCTCCGCGGGGGGGAGGGGGAGAGGCTGCAGCGTCCCCCACATCCTCCCTGACCCTCCCTTCGATTCCACCTCCTCCCGCACCTTCCTTCCCTCCGTTCGATCCACCTCTTCTTCCTCTCTCCCTCTCTCCTCCTCGTGCATCCTTCTTGTCGTCCCCCTCCATCCCTCTTCCTCTAAGCAGCTCCACCCTTCGTTTGAAACCGCCAGCAGAAGGGGTGCATGGCCTGTGGTGTTCAACATGCGGCGCTCCCCTCGGCGCCGCGCACACTCGTTTTCAACGTACCCGACGACTACAAGTATGGAGGCAAGTTAATTGTCAAAATGAGATTATCGATTGAAAACGTGTTCAGATTGTACGACCCAGCGCTCCAAAATGCACAACAGCTGCACTAATACAGAGGGCGGCGCGTTTTCAAAAAGGCGTTCTCGCTTAAGACACCCGCAACTCGTACGGCCAGAATTTCGAAGTTACAGCCCCCACGCGGATGAAGGAACGGTCCCTAGTGTTTGTCAAGACGGAGCCATCGCTGGACACGTCCTCGAATCGTATCAAGGCGCACCCTTGCACTGCCGAGCAGAAGAATGGAGAGTGGATCCTTGACTTGTGCTCTCGCATGAGTTGCAGGCCGTCTGAGGGTCCGCCTCGTGGGAAGAGGTGCACGGCAGGTCCGTGCCGTGTCCACGCGGCGGCGACCCCGCCGCGGGCGTTCAGGGCTGAGCTCCGCCCGTGGCCCAGAATGCGTCAGCACAGCACGACTCGGCGATCTGAAAGCGATCGTTCTCTTTCCGTTGTTCTGCCGATGAGCGCGGGCCCTCGCATCTCTCCCCCCCGAGGACTGAAGCAGTGTCGAAGCGTCCCGGCTCGCCTATAGTCTATAGTCCCACCGAACAATGTTCTAAGAACTTTTTGTGGTGTCCACGAAGTTGTCTCAAAACATGTCTGGCGGGGACTGTCTTGTTTTAACATCGGTTTCTGTTCTAAGAACATCGCTTTGGTTCTTAGAACATTTTCGGGTTCTAAGAACATTTCGTGGTGGGCCTATAGAAATGCGGGAACGGTCGGTCCCTGCTCAAAATGGAGTAGATCTTGGCTGTTTTTGGCGCTTGTTTCGGGCAGGTGGGGTCTCCCCCATAGGACGCACGGTTGCAAGCAGTCGCACGAAGCAGAGGTCTGGAGCCAGACCCCCCTTCTCCCCTCCCCCTTCCGCCCAATGTCTAAACGCCGAATACGAAAATGCTAACAAAGCCGCCGATCGTTCCAGGTTGAACTTGAACGATCCACGCGGTGTCACGCGCCATCGCCGAAGACGTCACGACACCAAGCCGCCGTACCTGTAGGGGCCTCTGGGGGCGTAGATGACTCCTGGCGTCGTGCCAGGGGGGGCGGGTGGTTTGGGCGCATCGGTTGTTCGTCCTCCAGCCTTGAGGGGCCCAAGCTGTGGGGCGCACGTTTGCCCCACCCCTCCGCCCGCGCACGTCTTCCGTCGGTGTCTCTTGTCCGCTGTTCCCCGAACGAGCTTTAATGTGTCGTCATTGCGTCTTCACCAGGAGCCCCTCCCCACCTCGAAGCAGAAAAATTGTATACACACAATTGTTCGCACGGTCTCATCACCTCAACCCTTGGGCGCGGAGCGCCCAAGGGGCGTTGCCAGAGGCGGCGCCAGAATGTTGAGACAGCCCCGGCTTAGTCGGGAGCCCTGTCGAGGCCAGTTGGAAATGATTTTGGGGGCCTGATGAGGCCAGTTGGGACTACCTGGGGGGACAGTCTGTGCGCAACCCGAAGCCTTACCACCTGCCATCCCATCCCCCACCTCGTCGCCCAAAAGATACAGATGCCGCTTCTCCCCGGACCTCTCCCGGGGTGCGTTCTGATTCGAATTTCGAGGCCAACCCGGCCGTGGCGACGAGGGCCTCCAAGGAATGCCCACGAAGGCGACAACGAGGCAAGGGTAGCTGCGTCGGTACCCTGCTCCTCCGACCTCCCCTCGCCGCCGCTCCCACCGCCTCGCCGCCCTCTCCCACCAGGGCTGGGCCCACATGCTGCTTTGGTGGATTTCGGCTGTGTTTTGTTGTTCGTCCTGGCAGGGAGCTACAGGGAAACAGGTGGAGCAAAACGAAAGACAAAACGAAACACAGAACGAAAAAGCAACGTCTAGGTCCAGCCCTGTCTCCCACCCCTCGCCGCCCCCTCCCGCTTTTGGGCGGCGGCCCCCCGAGAGCGTTTCGGCTCGCGGGCGCGGGCCCCCCCGCGCGCCGAGCGGCGCGCGCGCGCGGGGGGGGCCTCTGCTTGGCCGCGGAGGCCAGGGGGGGCGATCAGACCCCTGGGGGGGGGAAGGATGGAGGGCTTCTCCGAAGGGCTCAGGCGACCCGTCCTCCGCCACCTCGTCCTCCTCCTCCTCCTCCTCCTCCTCCTCCTCCTCCTCCTCCTCCTCCTCCTCCTCGGGTCGCCTACGGCCCTGGGGGAAACCGTGCACGGAAGGAGGAGGATCGATTGACAGACCGCCGCTTGTCGGGTCGTAAGGTTTTCTGCAGCGCAGACTCCAGAGCTCCGCGAACCGAGATGTTCTGGGCGAGAGCTGGCGAGAGCGGGCAGCGGCAAGAGACATGCTAAAAGAGGGGTGATCGCTGGTGGATTTCGACACTCGTCCTCGATCATCTGGCTACATCAAGCGGAGTTGGCGCGGAGCGCCGCAAAAGATGGCCAGAAGGTTACAAATATTCAAGTGGCCTTCGGCCAGTGCCGCCGATCCCGGTCGCTCGGGGTTACCCCCCAGGCGCAGACATTACAGGCGCACGCTCAAACACACACGCACACCACATGCCACACGCGCACACTACTTTGTCGCTGCCTTTGGCCAGTTCCTGGCAGCGCCATTCCGCACTCGCGCGCGCGCGCCACCACGATCACTTTCCACAACATTGCCATTATCGTTTCTGCTCACCCCCCCCGACTGTTTATTTGTCTCTCGCGCGAACACGCCGCGCCCGGCACTCGCGCGCGAGCACCGTGCACACGCGCGCACACACGCACGCACGCCCACATGAACACAAACACACGACACACACACACACACACACATGGACACACCACCACGATACTCACGTACTCACCCATGTACACATGAATACCCGCACACACTCATGTCATATTACTACACACCACCCTAACCGCGCCACAGACATGCACACACCACCACACACACACACATGCCCACTCAGGAAACGCACGCGCGCGCACGCCCATCGGATACACATACCACGTACACACCTCACGCACGCACACTACCAAATGCACACGCGGCGCACACACATACAGAGACACATTTAGGCGCACGCCAGACACTAGCACGCACAGACACTCGCAGACCCGCACCACACACGCACCCTCGCACAGAAGCACACACCTGAACTCG